GTGGTGAATCGTAAGGTTAGGTTCGGTCGTCTCGTCTATTACAAATTTTTGCGCATGCGCAGAGAGCGGTCACATTTGCATTTTAACGTATGCTCAATAGTTCCTTGCTCATTTTCTGATGTGGCAACACTGTGGCCATTGACATTATCTACATTTATTGATATTGTGAGGTTAGTAGTTTTCAATGTTATGTTCTAGTAATTTCAAAATATAAAATTTTTAGGTAATTAATACTACAATAATGACGGCTAGAGCGAAATCTGGACGAATTGAAGTCGAAATCGAGAAAAACCGAGAAGAGGGCAATTGGCTCAAAGTTATAGAATTGGCTCAGCAGCTCAAGGATAAATCGAATGAGTTTGGTAACATTCAATTAGCAATTTCCTAATGCATTTTAATTGTTAGTCTGTAGTTCAAAGTGGATATTGATTTAGTTAATCTCACAATAATAAACCATATCATAGTTTGCCCCACTAAATATATATGTACCAGGACGTGCTAGTCTAGCTACATCTGAGTGTATGTTACAGTTTACAGCAATTGCCATAAATAAAACCAACTGTTGCTCAAGTTAACTGATTTATTAGGATACTGTAGACAACAAGACTACAACTTTTTTAAATTATCGCGTTTAACACTATAAAATACAAAAATTATATGGTCAATATCATCAAACTAAAACTTAAAAAATACAGCATAGATATGTAATAATAACACAGTAGGAAGCGGACACACCTATTTAACTATTCATATCTACGTTTTATTTCGGACAATTCAAATTCAATAATAATTTACTATTCGAAGCGGTAACCCAATTTGTAAGGAAATAGTTGTCATAAAAAATTTGAATCATGTAATATCAACAATAATTTCAAGTTTTCAATACCACCTACTAACACAGCATAGGATTGAGTAAATGGTAACTGTTTTCTAGTTAATGATAATGTTAATTCAGTAATTCGTACTTTTTAGTTAAAGTGTATTTGTTCAGTATCTTTGAATTGCTATTATCCGTAGAATATCTAAGAATTAGTCTGATTCGGTCTTTAATTGGACATTTATGTGGCTAAATTCGTTCGATATTATCAATCTAACTCAAATGTCATGTTCATGGATTAGTTACAAAGTCCACACATAAATTTCTTGCAAAATTATATTTCTCTGCAAATATTTTATTTTCTTGCATCCTCATTTCAGGCATAGATGTCTGCTTTTCTGTATTTTTATATTTTTTTCATTTGTCTGCACTATGATGTTTGCATTTTTCTTTTAACATTTACTTTTTTTCTGTAGGTATTTCATTTATTATTTTTCCATCTGGTATTTTAATCTTCTTAAGTCTCACGTGATAGAACAAATTGTATAGTGATTTGCGTTCAGTAATATAATTGTTTCCAGTTTGCTTATCAGATTTTCTCATTGGAGAAGGAAAGTTAGAGAACTTTTTAGAAGAATGGCCGCCCATGGAACAGAACATACAAAGAGCAAGATCAGGTCTCATCGATGCCAAAAGATATCTTAACTTGGTTATTACAAATGCAGGAATAAAGGTGCGTTATTATAAACTGATTTCTACAAAAAAATCGTGGAAATTCAAATTTAAACGTATCTTGGAAACATATTTTTTGATATTAAACAAATACGAATTTCGGATTTCTCGGTTAAGTACTTTACTAGATATAATTGAAGAGTTTGTTAAACTCAGGTTTCGTTTTGCTAACGTTGATAAATATATTTTCGAGGAAAAGTAGATGATAAAAAACGAACAAAATTTACTGATAATATTCACGGTTCACAATGTTTTAGGCTGGAGTAGCCATGGATGCACACTTGCTTTTAGGAAAAGTCCATTATGCTTGTGGGCAGTATGCTGATGCACTCAAAAATTACAAAATGGCTGATTTGCAAAATTTAACCGAAAAAAGGCTGCCCTTGTAAGTTCCAAGTTGTAAAACTTTGGAAATTTTTCTGTAAACTTTGAAATTTCAGGCGTAGCCTCAAAATAGTAGCAGAATCTTATGCGATCAAAGGGCTCTGCTTGCAAAAAGATACTTCAGCATCCAGCAAATTCAAGAAAGCTGAAAAAGAGGAAGAGTTAGCCCGATGTTTCGACTTGGCATCAGACCTTAGTTTGCTTTATATGCAAAATCTTGACAAAGAACTCAATTCTTTGCCCAATACGGGCTCGGTAAACACAGGTAGAAAATTAAATTCTACATATTAATCTTAAACTCGCAATTAATGTTTAACTGTTTCAACATTGTTCTAAATGATTAAGATAAATTAAAACACTAATTACAGGTAGTCATTCTCCTCAACCCCCAAGCCATCAAAAAACACTTGGAGCAGTTCTAGAGCAAGCCATTCAGGCAGCGCCTTTAGCTCTATTGCAACAAGGCAAACCAGAGGAGTCACTCGAAAGATACAGGTGAGCTTATAATTAATTAATGCACGTGAATCAACGCAATTATCTTGCAAATATCAGTTAGAGAAAATTCGAAACTTTCAATTTTTTAAAAATAGACCTGTTTATTTTGAAGAAATACATTGTGTGCAATCGAATCTCCAGGCGTTCACAATATTCGTTTGAAGTTTATGACCCAAATTGCCGAATTGCTCCTTCAAGGGCTCGTTGGAGAAAAATATCAACTTCCGTCTACTGTTTCCGTTAAGTCTTCATATTGGAAACCTAAATGTTACTCGTCACTTAATCAGGTAGGTTGATGCGCATACTTTCCGAAATAAGAAAAAAATGAAATCCGTTATCGAACTAGGATTACGCTATACATAAGAAGTACAGCAGATTTAATTTTATTGACTGGCGCTGTTTAATATTATTGATTTGATTAATATTTAGTTATTAGCAGGCTTAATTTTAAAGTAATGCCTAAACGGTTTGTAAGTCAATTATATAACCTCTATTATCTGTTATTAAACGATTTAATTATGGATTTTACGTGTGTTTAGGTTTTTGTCAGATATTGCAATTATTTGCCCCACAGGCCATAATTATCTAATGCGTTTTCTTGTCATTAGTACCGGCTTTTAAACAGGATAATTTGATAATTTTACATGTGTGTTTATTTCGATAAATTGGACTTAATTTAATTGACAATGTTTGTAACCATTTAGGTGCATTTAGTTGACCAAACTTTGTGTTTTAAAAATGAATGATCAAACTGTATAAAATTCGCAGGTATTGGCAATAAAAACATTCTATTAGGAGTTGATTGGAATCTTGAATGGTGCATAAAAGTGCAGAACATGTACTAATCTTACATTACTTTATATAAATTAAAAAGTCTTTAAGTTCATGACAAATTACTATCGATAAATCTTGATAAACTGACGTGCGCTCGTAATAAATTATTTAAAAATGTCTTGCAGCTACTACAATTCATACAACCTCTCCTGGAATATATAATTATTGTTCCAATCGAATGAGTCATCAATATTTAATTTAGCCATTATTCTCCATTTGTTTTTGCAGTTTATTCCAAAATGCGACTGCGAGGAGGTGATCTTAGTCCTTTTAGTCGCCGAATCGATGGCAGTTAGGCATGCTGTTTTATCGCAAAGTCCGGAGTTTAAGGATATAAGGCTTAGTGCAGGTCAAGATGCTACCACAGTATACGATTTACTTACCGTGGCTACAGTAAGGTGGGGACAGGTCGCTTTGTTGCAAGAGGTAATTAGGGGCTTCTTAAATAGTACAAAAACATTTGTTACATTGAACTTAAACAAGGTAAAATTAAATATGATAATTTATTTTGCTTGAAAAGATCCAAATCGGTTAATCCAATTTTAACAAATCCAAATTATATTGCTTTTGCACGATTCTTTTTCTAATTTTCTAGTCACTCGAACGATCAATGAAATTCTCATTCGAAGATCCACATCTATGGAAGCAACATGCTCTCTCGTTGCTCTCCATTGGACATTACCAAGATTCTTTAGCTGTATTACGCGAAGTGATACGTTTGGAACCAAATAATTCCAGCAATTGCCTTTTGGCTGCCAAACTGTGTTATGAACACATGAATTTAGCAGAAGAAGGTAAGCTAAATAATATTAATAGAGGTTACTTGGGCGTTAGTTTTCCTATGATCGATTGTTGTTTTAAAGGAATTGACTTCAGCTTACAAGCAAGGGAAAGAGAATTGAATAATCCATCGGGATTACTCGGGAGATGTCATCTGTATGCAGGTATTGGCTATTATTTGAGAGCAGAAGCAAGCTTGCTAAAAAAGGAACAAGATTATTTGCGGTGTAAGGCTATTGATAACATAAGAAGGTAGGACAAATTACTTACGAGTGAAGCATGATTGTTCATTGCTTATCATGAAATTATTAGCGCTGTCGAACTGGAACCAAACGATCATCTCGCCAGGTACTTTTTGGGCCTGCAATTAGCGATTACAGGACAAATTATAGAGGCACAAACTCATATCCGAGTGGGACTAGATTTGCAGCCAGAACATTCATCCACTCTACATCTTTTAGCGCTAATTTTGACCACAGAGCAACAGCACAAGTTAGCGTTATCGATAGTCGAGAACGCTTTGGATGAATACCCAGATTGTTTGAATTTATTGTATGTGAAAGCTCATTTAGAACTACATGAAAAGGGTGGTGAGGTCAGTATTTTTTATGCTTCTAACAAACAGATGATCCTATTGTAACAGAAGCTCTATCAAATGCTTCAGATTTAGGACAGCTTTTAATAAAAATACCCAATTGGGATATTGTGAATAGAAAATTAATATTACCGTACAATCGATTTAATAGGTGGCATTAGGAACTGCGAAGCAAATGTTAGAAATATGGAAAAATCTATATGAAAGCCAAACAATTTCTGATATGCCTGAATGTGATAGAAAAAGTGATACCAGGTCAGTCTTCCAACTGTACACTTCAGAAATGTCTGATAAAGATTCAAGTAAGCGATTATCTTCCTATATATATTTAGAATCACTCTGTGTATTAATATGAAAATTTTTACTATACTACTCAGCGCTTTTTTGTTCATAGAAAATAGCAATTTACTACAAGAACCACATTTAATACTTACAGGTTCTTTACAACTGCACAATACTGCAGCCACTCGAGTAGAACAAGCATTGAGTGAAGTGGCGAGTTCAATGAGTAGTTTCAGTCCTCGACCAGGCCCTCAAAGAGCTTGGATGTTGCAAGTAGAGGTGTGGCTTCTTCTCGCCGAACTGTATCTATCGTTGGATCAAATTTCCGACGTCCAACAGTGTATTCAGGAAGCCACTCATATCTACCCTTTGAGTCATCACATTATGCATATGGTAGATAGACAAGGGTTTATACACCTTAAATAGTATTTTAATGATTTTCGCATTTCTAGAAAGGATTATTGCATATGCATAAGGAAGAATGGACCGATGCCAAGGTGTGGTTTCAAAACGCTGTAGCGATTAATCCGCTTCATGTCAAGTCTTTACAACAGTTGGGCTTAGTTTATCATTATCTGGGTTTGCAAGGTCTTGCGGAAACCACTCTTCGGGAAGCTGCTAGGATTGAACCCCATAATACAATTACTTGGTGAGTTTTTGCGACTTTTCAGTTTGTCTAAAAAATCTTTCAAAGGATAGTTAAGTTTTGATTATATTTTTTATACCTGATGGTTTACTGATTATTAATAACCTATAGGGTTGGAACCTTCGACATTGACGATAAATCCCTAACGTTTTACCACTTTTTTGAAACTAGTGATTTACTAAATATTAAGTTTGGCTTTCTGAAGACAATTTCTTCTAGGTATAATTTGGGTAAAGTGTTGGAAGCCCTAGGAGAATATGAAAAAGCCAGTAACGCCATGGCAACTGCCCTAATGGAGGAGAGAAATAATCCGGTTTTACCATTCAATTCCGTGCCGTTATGTTTTGAATAAATTCTGAAACTGTTTCTAGCTCATTGGTGTAAGATAGTCATTTTGTGATGATGCACTGTATCAAATAGTTCTTAAACGCACTTTTTTAACCTGCGCCTGAGTGTTTCGGCTGGGAACGACACTCGTCTGAGATATTATAGAGTATTGTTATGGAAGGAAAACTCGTTAGATTTGTTGAAATATAGCAGTCACTAATATAATATAAAATGTTTTCGGTGTACAATACTAATTGTTCGTGAACGTAAACTAGGTGAAATACGTATTTATTAATTAAAACTAATCCCGCTGTATGAGAAAACTTATTGCACTGTTAATCGTCAAATGTTTTATGAAATTTCTATGAACAAATCTAGTTTCCAAATATCTGAATATTTAAGCGTTTGCAGTGTAACGGGTTGTTTTTACAAACATTCCACTTTATTGAATTATTTATACATTCAGTTAGTAATCTTGGAATCTGGTCGTATGTTTATTTATTTTTACTGTGTTACTAGAATTTCATTATACTGTTATTTGATTATACTGTCATTTTATGTAGTATATGTATACGTATTGTTTAAACCCTGATGACACGGAATCGATTTTATGTTTGATTGTTTATCTACATTGCTATTTAATAAACGCTGTTGTTAACTTATTTAAAAGTGTTTTTCTCGATTGCTCGTGAGGTTCAGAGTGAAAGTTGTATTCGTTGGGCGTGCGTGAAAAGTGTCTTTTCAGTTGAGTATTGTTTAAATGCAAAATAAATAAAAACATTAAGGTTTGTGTTTGATACATATTTTTTTCCAGCTTTTCTATAAATGTTTTCTCACCTTGGCCGAGACAAGCAGCGGACTATTAATCACAAAAATAGCCCGTTCAGCAAACGGGAGCGCATGGCGAAGCCACAAAGCAGAAACCGTCCCGACGCCACTATTCGGACGGTCGGTCGGCGTCGTTGCCTTGAATATGCCGTAATAACCTCCGCTTCTTTGATTTATTTAGCGACCTTTAAGGTTTTTTAGTTTATCACCCTAATTTCGCACGGTCAGTGTGGCAGTAGTGAATTAAAGCGGCCCTTGTTGGCTCTTTCCATCGATTTAGATCACATTTCGCGATTGTGGCACAGACCTTGATTTTTGTGTATTTGCTCTGATTCAGTTGACCACTGGTTTCAGTTCGGACAAGCAGATTTTTTTTCTTCAGAATTTCTTTATTTTCATCATATTGAGTTTTATTTCAAAGGTAAGATATATTTCAATTATTTTGCCTTAAATATTATCAATGTGGCGCTATACAGTGCGGGTAACTAACTAGAACATAGAACATTTTTCCAAAACTTATGCTACTAAGTGGCGAGTTTTTCTTTAGAGGAGCATTTTTTCAAATGAATGCTATTTGCTAACTAAGCGTAAAATTCTTAACTTCAGAAATATTATATTATCTTATTTAGTAATTCTCCAAACGGTTCATTACGACAAAAACATTTTTAGATAAAACTTTAAAATTTTAGGATAATTTAAGCCATTCCAAAGACTATAAAACTTTTTCGAAAAAAAAGGTTGACTTGACCTCTCGTTCTACGCCTGTACACGCAAATAGGCAAATTAACAAAAAGTTTTTCTAACATTCCCCAGCAATACTTTTACACTTTTTCGAAACTCTATTAAGAAGTTTAAACTTATTACGGAATTAACGCAGTTAGCTAAAATAGTTTCACTTAAAGTGAGTATACAGGTGGTTCCACTTTAATCAAGTATTAAAGCTATTATATTGGAAAGAAAACTTTATATAGCTCATATTTCTTCGCCATTCAGCCACAAAATATCCTTACAGCATAATTGAGCTAAGAAAAAAATTATTTAATTTAAAAAAGTGACGTTTTTATCATTTTATATATGTTATAAACTTATAATTAACCGTTGCATAAGGACGGCAAAGTAAAAGTAAAAAGTTCGACATTGTAGCGTGTATATTAAAAATACATATACTTATGTACCAGGGTGAGTGTATAACTTATGTAATTACTTTTATTTTTTATTACGTTTTATTACTACTGATTATGCCATCATTCGACTTGATTTGACTTAATTTATTTCCTTTGTAGCCTCAAATTGAATTTTCTGCTTTTCCGATATATTATATGTTGCCGTTTGTTTGCTACTGTAATACTAAGGCGTCACAAAAGTTTTGGGATTCAGACGATTTGAAAAAAAATCACTATTTTTCTGAGAATATTTTAACAATCATCAGAGCTAATCAATATAGAAATCAAAAAAATTACACTGAAAAAAAAGACGTAAAAACGGTGTAGGTATGTTCTACATGTACATAAAACCAGATTTTGCCACTAACAATAATTCATTTGTAGAAAAGCGTTCTGTTGGGTGTTTCTTGTCATTTCCCTCGTTTTAGCAAAATTAAATGTGGTAATGAATTGCCTAACGCATGATAAAACGCAATTTTATTTTAATGAAACAGTTACCCCACAATAACTGCAGACGGAAAAATAACACAACCGAAAAACGACGTAAGGTACCTTGGGATTACAATAGACCACAAACTGAAATTCACTAAAC